ACAGAATCTACTGCTCCTTTCTCATTTGTTAAAAATGTAGATCGCCTGGGAATAGGTGTTTGCAAAAACTGATGACTAAGTTGCAGGTGTTTCCCTAGCCCCAAGTCCTCTGGAAAGAGAATATTAATGAGGTATCCATTTTGGGTTACCTGGGGGATAAGAGATGTTTGATGTAATAAACTTGGGTAGATCTACAGGATGGAGAGAAGTTTGAGATGTTCTTCCCTAATAATGGTGTAAACTGTGTCTGGTTATTTTTCCCGCCTCCGTACAGGTCCAGAGTTAGGGAAAATAGTTTTCTCTGTTGGGGCCCATGGGCTCTGACAGAAACCAACAAGTGTCCTCCATCCAACAAATTGGCCCCAACTTGGTCAACTAAAATCCACATAAAACCTGAGAAAGCTTGGAAAGGAATCCTAGACACAAAAGAACATAGTTAAGCATGGCTTCTTGGTAGCCAGCATTTTGCTGGTGACATTGTGCAGGTCCTTTAATAGAGGTTTTACTGACTCAGCAGTAGCAGAAAAAAATGTGGCAGTTTTTAAATGTCAGCTTTCTGGGTCATGCTGCTAGCAGAAATTCTAACTCTCTCTGGAGGTGCGGCTACAGAGCATTTGAGTAGGGTCTGTGAGCAGACTGCTGCAACTTGCTTAATGGCAACATAGACTATCTGTGTGACTTAAAATGGGGTTATGAGCATGGCTCTCAGAGACAGCAAACAGCTTCACTATGCTGTGGTGTGGGAGAATTGTCGCTATTCTGTCAATCATATTTTAAATAAACGCTGATTCGCTAGGCAGGAAGTATAGGTGGGTCTACCAGACAGAAAGTAGAGGCAGGGAAAGAACAGGAATATTCTGGGAAGAAGGAAGACCATTCCTCCAGTACAGCCCAGACCACCAAAGAAATAACACGTGACCTGCGCTGCTGTGAAAGGTACTGAGCCATGTGGCTAACATAGATAAGAATAATGAGTTAATATAGGTACAAGACCTAATAAGAAGCCTGAGCTAATGGGCCAATCGGTTTATAATCTTTCGGGTGATTTTTTTTATAATCACCCGAAATCAGTTTATAATCTCTGTTAAATCAGTTTATAATCTCTGGGTGATTTTCTTTGGGGCAAGCTGGCCCTCAGTGTTACAATGTTTGACTGGGTGGGACAAGTAGGCAGTGCCTTATTTCCCCTAGTAATGTGGCCACTTAAGTTCATAAGAGGGCTTAGCATTTTAAGAAGTGCTTCTGGACAGTAAAGAATTACAGACACAGTGGACAGATTCAGACATAAAGGACCTCTAAATGTGTCACAGTGTTGGATAAATGTACATAGGCTTTGGAGAAAGAAGAAATAGAGAATCATAAAAGGAAATAAATGGTTTATAAAAAAAACCAAAGTCTTTAAAGAGACAGAGTACAGACAGTCATAGGAGTAATGATAATAAATTAAATATTAAACTTGTAGAAAAAGCAATAGTGAAAAAAAGCCATGTAAAGATGGAAAATTCATGGAGAGTCTGGTTTATGTATATTATTGTGTTATCTTTGAATTTTTTGACTGCATAGAGACATTTAATTCTGGGGACTGCTAAGATAAGCCAGCATATGTATTTCAAAGGTATCTTGAATTAAAAATTTGAGTCTAAAAATATGTTGCTTTAGAAAAGAAGTTCTTCTTTTGTTTCCACAGAGAATGAGAACCCGTGAATTACACTCAGACCAGTATGGTTTGTTGGACCAAAACTACCTGAAAGGTCACTTTGTACAAGCCTCAAAAATTACTTTTCCCAATAAACAGTAAAAATCAGTTTGGAGAGTAACTATGCCCATATTCCCAAATATTGTTTATAAATGTTCTTTTACATTTAAGGGGAGATATGCTATAGAGATTTGCTTTGGTATGGATCTTGGTTTATTGATACAAACTTAAGATCAATTTTGTTATATATATATATATATATATATATATATATTTCTGCTCTTGATTATGGTATTGGGTTTGTGAAGTTCATTTAAAATATAATGTATAATTAAGAAACATAGTCTAGCTTGTAGTTATGTTAGTTAGGTTTTCTAAATATATAGATATATTTCAGTTAGATAGATATTTTTTAAAAATTTCAGAGACCTTAAGAATATGACATTTAAAATGTTTTAAGAACTTAATACTTTTCATGTCAATAATATACATCTGTTCTTGACAGCACCAACTACTTCAAGAGGAAGATGGGCATCAAAGAGGTTCCTTATGGAATTTGTTAGCCATTTGGACAAGAAACTGCTCTTGCATGGACTGTTTGATGAACTGGACATGCAGGACCCACAGAAAATTGACTGCTGAACTGGCATAAAGGTGAGATGATCCTTCTATATGAATGAGTCTGCCGGATATTTTGTAGGACATAGAAGAAAGGGACAAACAAACTGCCAATATAGGCGGAACTGTCTTTTAAATTTCCTGCTTCATGGAAAAGTCTGCTGGATACTATGGATCTGTAGGCTGAAGATGGATGCCCCAAAGGTAAAGAAGAACTTTGAGTTACTGTCCTGGCAGCAAGATGCCTCTGTCAATCCTGGAGTTTTGGAAGTTGCTTCCAATGTACTTGCTGTTTACTTAGGTAATATTATATCATTTTGGAATCTTTGATGAAGATTAGACAGTTGAAGAATAGACAGTTATAGTTACATTAGTTATGATAAAAGATAAAATAGATATAATTATTGTAACTGCAATTCTTGCTTGATACTTGTGTTATACGTAATTTTACTATGTTAAAGTTAAATCCTTCCTTTGTATTTAAACAGAAAAGGGGAGGTGATGTGGGATTTCCCTTTGTACCATTGATTAATAAAGAAAATGCTTTGGACCTATAGCAGGGCAGAACATACGTAGGCATGGAAAGCTAGCCTCAGTGCTAGGAGAAAGAAGGGCATAGTCAGAGAGAAGGTATGTAGTTGCTGCAGAGACAGATGTACTGAAATTTTCCTGGTAGGCTACGACCTCATGGTGATGCACAGGTTAATGGAGATGGGTTAAATTAAAACGTAAGAGTTAGAAAATAAGAAATTAGAGTTACTGTGCCAAGCAGTGGTTTAAATAATATAGTTTCTGTGTGATTATTTCGGGGGCTGAGCAGTGAGGTGCCAACAAGTGGCCACCATCCAACATCATTGTTTAATATCCAAATATTATAAATATAGAATGTAATTTGATTTTGTTACATATTTAGACTTTAGGCAATTTGAACATAGCAGCTATGTCAAATATCTTTCCTTTTTCCCTGTTAGAAGCCCACAAAGAAGATTGCATCTGCCTTCTCTATTTTGATAGCAAACTAAACTCTAAAAAACATTGTTAAACAAAGAGAAAATTGTAATAAACACATGCATATTTGCAGGACTTGGTATTGGAAGATCATTCTCAGGAATTTATTCTCCAATGAGAATGACTCATGCATATGTACACCTTTTAAGCATATCCTGATTCATTTGCTTACTGAAGTCATTTAACAAAAGAAAATCTAAGACGAACTTTTGAAAATATATTTCATCCTCTTATTTAAATAATGTGTTAAGTGGGGAGACACCCCAAAATTTTGTTCTGTGCAATCTTTTAGTGTATAAGGATCATTCAACCACAAACCATAATTTTCAGCTAAAAGTAAATATGAAGCAAAACATACAATTCACTTCTGTAGTGCCTGTGCCCATCCTTCCCCAGTAACTGTGACATTTCTAATTATTCCAATAGATTTTAGTAATACAGATAACAGTTGTTACATCAGAGTGATTATTTTAATTAGCTTAGTGAACAATATACAAATTTTTGGATAAGATCCTTTATAAAACAACTTTATTGCTTTTTGAAACATTTTATTTAAGCATTCAAAAAGTAAGCAGAAATCATAGATCATAATAAGGGAAAGAAAAAGGAAGTCAGTAATTTGGTATGTTTTATCCAGACTTCACAGGTGAGGGGAAAATTTACTTAAAAAGAAATGGTGATTTGTATGTGATACTGATTCCATGGTCAAGAGGATATTATGCATAATTCTCATCCTGTTGTCATCAGTGCAGACATGAAATAAAAAATTAAAACATGATTGAACAGGAAAGTTTTTGTCCTTGAGAATATATGAATGCAGACTTAAATATAACAGTACAGAGTATAGAGAATGGATTGTATATAAACAGTTCCTTTCCTAGAAGTCACCAATGCCTTGCACTTGGGATTCTATAGGAGTATATTCACAGAGAATAATGACATTCTGTGACATGCATGAAAATTTATATTGAGATGTTTCAAAGAATAAACTGAAAACATCAACATGATTTCACAAATAATACATGTACAAAACTGTGACAAGTAATAGCCCACAATCATAAAGAAAGAAAGATTTTTCAAATACAAGCCACATTCTCTTGATAGAATATTCCTCAATATAAAAATGTTCACAATTCTGAACAAGATGAAAGTCCTTCATATTGATTTATAAATAAAAATATTCTAACATTCATTTTGTAACTATATATTCAGCTTTAAAAGACAAATAATATTCTATCTTAATTTTGCCAAATTTAGAGTAAATTTTTTCCTTTGAAACATACTTATTTCTATTTTTTATGTAATAAGCACAAATCTATTGAAATATCAAATGGTTAGTCAATGTTTCTGTTTCTACTCACCTAAAGAAGGTGATTATTTAGGACAAATATCTGTAAAAGAACATGTATGGATTAAGGAGTAACATAAATGTTCTCGTATGAATATTAGAAGAGCTCCCCAAGGATTATTTCTGGAAATAGCAACTGAAAGATTGCATATGACTAGATTTATTCTGAATCAGAAATCTTACTGACTAGATAGATAGAGAGATAGATAGATAGCTAGAAAGTCTTAGTACGTATATTCATGAATATAAATCAATATACATATATGAATAAATATGTCTCTATGTATTTAGAAATGCTATGGCAATAATAATAATAATCACTGAGTTTACCTGTAGCCAGAACATCTTGAATGTTTTCTTTTGGAATGTTATGGACCTTAGCAAATTCCTCAATTTTTTCATATTGTTCAGGGGTCAAAGGTTGACCTCTTCCTATATTGTATAATTGACAATGTTAAAGATATGTTTAGTAGAATTCTTCAGAAATTACATTGCTTCCTTAGTATCCCAACTGCTCCAATTTCATCTATCCTGGGTGGGTCAATACAGACAATAATAATTTTCCCCAAATTCCATGAACACATTTAATAAAGTCTAAATGGTTTTATGACATTAATTATCAGTATTCTATGACGTATCAAAAAATAAAAAAAATTCTCTAGAGAATTCACTCATCTCCATCCTACCCACTTTCAAAAACATGACCCTAGACAGTCATGGATGCCTGTCAAGGGAATCCTCAGATTTTATAGAAGTCTATAACCTAAAGTTTATGTTTTAATTTAGTACACACTTTTCAAATGACACTCAAAATGGTTTAAACTTTGGAAAAAATATTTGTTCCCTTTTTCTTGTGAGGAAATATGAACATAAACACTTCCAATGGCATCGCGCATCACCCCAAATCTTCAATAATCATGATACTCAAATTACAATATAATGTAAAAGGTCGTCCAAAAAACAACCAGATTGTCATTTAGTGAATGAGAGTTTGGAAATACCATGATACTATACTTGGAGGGTGCATCTGACTTAATCTTTATTTACAGGGTGATAATTTTGTTACTATTTCAAAAAAAATCCACTACCATTCTTACCATAAACATAAATCATGTTTGTTGTCTGGCCAGTTTTATCCACATTATGATTGGCAAAGATTGTAAACTCTGGTGTTGCATACACAGGTCCAAATGTGTTGTCACCTTCAACTGTAGTAACCGAAACACTTCAAAATGAGTGTCCCTCGTTTTTCTACTTTGCTTGATGTTACCCATTGACTAAACACTAATATTTACCACAGCTCTATCAATCATCTTTGATTCACTTTCATATGACAAATGTGTGCAAAGATATTCCTATAGTAATTAATTTTGCACATCCCATCATAATATTCTTTAAACCTGATAATGAATCCTAGGTACAGATACTTTCCCTTTTCTCTGAATTTATTGTGTCAAGACTTTTGGGATCACTCTGGTGGGTATTCCTTCCCCTTTCAACCAGATTAAAAGATCACTTATCAATGTCTTGAAAGTAAAAAAAGTTTGGTTTCATACCATGGTAATACCTGGTGAACAAATGAATACAAATGCAAAAAGAGACCTTAGTAATGAGAAATATGCACAAAAGTTTTCATCTTGTACAGCTATTGATGGAAAAGATATAAGAATGAACATGTCAAATTTACTAGACATTCATAATGTATATGTGTCTGTCTCTATGTGTGAATGCTCTATGTACATATACCTTTCTCTCCATCTCTCTCCACGTGTGTGTGTGTGTTTGCATGTGTGTAAGTCTAAAATTTATACTTACTGACACTGATTAAATAATAAACGTTTTTCACAAAGAAATAAAAGTGTTTTGGGATCTGGACATTTTCAATTACAAGACTGCTTTTTAATATCCATGTAAAGTTTAGAAAACAATGGACTTTCCAGAAGAATGTGCACTCCATTCATTTAAGATCAAACCAAAAGGCACACCAGTTACAATTCAGGTGAAAAATGTTGCCATTAATTTAGCAATTTTTACAAAATTGAAAGAGTAAGTCTGAAATTCTTAAATAGACTTTTCCCTAACTGGTTTTCAAAATTGAGGTTATCATCCAATGATCTAAATGTTATGATCTTAACATAATATGAGAAAAGGAAATTTTAAAATGGTCCTGTTAATTTAAATCCTCTATTAATCCAGGTTGATAGACAATGCCTATAATGTAAGTACTTCATAGCCTGAGGTATAAAGTTTGCAAATATGTTTGAGGCCAGAGAGACCTATTAATGAGTGTCAGACCTGTGCAATAACAAACCGAGATACTGTATGAAAGAAAAAGCACTGAATATTATTTAGAAGTAAATTTAAATGAAAAAAACTATTTGGAGATATTTTGTTAGCATTACTCACACCTTCAGGTAATAGTGTTCTTCTCCATGTAAACTTCAGAAGACCTGCAATGTACTCTGACTTTGTACCATATCTCAGTTGGTTGGAAGGGTTGATAAATTTCCAAGTAACCAGAATTGTTCTAGATTTATGTGCCTATGGGTAGCTGAAGTGTCAGCTTGTATGTGCACACCCACAATGTTTTTGTTCAGAAAAAGCTCCCAAAATCCCATACTTACACTGTGCTCTATACTTGCCATCTTCTTGTCTATTCCCAATGATTGTGGTCTTTGTACATTGGCCATTCGCCCTAAAAAAAATTAAACAGCGAAACAATGGTTTATCCTTTATAACCTTTGAATTCATATTAAAGACCTTCAAGTATTACAGTGAACCTGATGAACAGTGTACAGAGTTAGAAGAAAAGTATCTAAGCTTACCTTACTTCTCCTAATTCTTGTTTAGAAAATATCATTCTGTTTGTAATTATGCACATGTCTTATTTTATTTGAGTCAATTTTAACAAATCCCATGAAGGCTTTGATGTCTTCCTTATCTGATTTCAGTATTCACTGAGTATGATTTTTAATATGTTAATTCTCTTGTTTTAGTCCAACAATAACAAGTACATTGAAATATATGCTTGTGTTTTAAGGGATTTATTTGTAACTTAAATCTTACAATTGTGTCTAGAATATAGGAATGATTTAAAGCATTTGAAGTTCTTACGGTGTTATGTACTCTTTCACTGAACCTTATCATCTAAATGTCAGAGAGAGAATCTTTGAATCTATAGCCTCAGATACAGTACTTTTTACAAATTAGATTTATCTGAGCTGGGTGTAAAAGACTTTCTTATGGTATCATTGACTGAATAACATAACATGTGTGTGTTTGAACCAAATGCTCATGCATATTTTTAAATTAATATAAGTGATATCCTTGGAATCTTCTGTATATAATATTAGAGCATGGAATTTAAGCACAGGCCTCCAACCTGGAGAATTTCTAAGGAAACAGTAAAGGAACTGGAGACAGTATCTAACTTCTGTGTGGTGTCCAGAGCCAATCCATCATGGAATAACATAATCACATTTCTGAAAATAATACCTTCAAGTTCATGATCAGAAACAGAACATTGGCCTGTAAATTTAACAGTTAAAATCTGTAAATTTAAATAGTCTGCGCAGTTTACACAGTTAACAATTTGCTTACTTGATATAAAATGTGACTCCCAATCTATTACATGCCTCAGTACAATTAAGTTCACGAAGGTAGATTCTCAGAGGTCCTCCTTCCTTTACCTTGTTCACATTGTCAGCAGCAATGGCAATGGTAACCCATTTTCCATCAATCTGAAAAAACATCAAAGGTCATTAGAATGTGAGTTGGCATCAAATCTATGATCACATTCCTTGGAAATAAATAAAATAACTAGAAACATAAATCGATAATGTTTTCTTTATTAGTTAAAATTAAGCTTCTAGGAATGTAGAATAACACAGGGTAATACGATGACTCAATTTACATAGCATTTAGTACATGAGACCTTTTAGAATTACTCATGTGCTGGTCTCATAAGCTCTGAAATTCAGCCCATAGTTTCCTTATTTTATTTGTTTCATCTTAGAAAAATCTGACTAAAAAAGTACACATGAGTTAAAGTCAGAAATGAATATGGACTTGCATGGACAAACTGAATGACACGTCACATCCACATAAATAAGCTGTTGAAGAACACCAAACCTGTTCACAGATCAAATGAATTTACCTCAGCATGAGCATGAGCCAGACCAAATGCCAAAGCCAGCAGTAGAAACTTTACCATGGTGGTACCTGTCTTTGCTCTTCTGCAGAAGCTCAAAGTAGGATATTGGTTGTGAAGTAACTGAACTGAGAAAAGCTTTTTATACAGTTAGTTAAAGGGAGTTTTATGGAATCAACCAATGGTTCTGCACCACAACTTGGATCTGTCCAGTATTTCTACTTTGACCCTCTTGAATGGTGTGTGATCTCATATTTCTAAACTAATACAATTAGACTAAAGGTCAGGTTCTGTTGGGATGATTAATTAAGCATTCCTGTCAGAAAAAAATAACTATCCCTGTGAGAACATTTAAGAAAACAATTTGCTTCCAGAGCTATACTGGTGGGTAAAGGTCACAATGCATACACATATGTCGTATAGGATTCATTTAAGAACGTAGCATGCGCTTTAAAGTACATTCTGAATCTAAGCATAATACAGTACAGTTAAATGAATTTAAAACTGTAGGCTGGACTATATGAGTCAAAGCAAGCACACTATTAGAAGATAAGTTGGTAATGCTAAAAAAGGATTTTGTATACAGATATTGATATGTCCTGTGCTATCTTTAAGTCTTTCCATATGTTGAGTACCTTTTTCCTCTAGCACACTGAATTCAACTGTTATGACACAGAGTGTCAAGAGATATCACCAATGTTTAACTGTTTAACTAATAGAAAAAAATGCTGCTAGATGTCTCCTGGCAATAAATACTGGTCTCATTAATCAAAAGAAATGAAATCAAGTGAAACTGTCTATAAAAAATGACGTTCAAAAAACTCCAAAATGTGCAAATAGACTCTTCTCAAAATATGATTATGTATCCTAAGGCAAGGACCATCCCTGCCCTGTTAACTTCTTTGCACATCAAATCCAAAGTCTGTTTTGTGCTTAGGCATAGGATTTTGTTATCAGTTTCTAGGAATAACTAAGACTATCAGGACTCTGGAGTATGTGTTTATCCTTTGGGACTTCCCTCTCTGACACATGAAATAACCTACAGTTAGAATTTAGTATTTTTTTGTTGAAAACTCATAATTACTTATGACACCTTTATAAAAAATTAGTTGCCCCTTCATAACACTTTCTTTGAATTATAGCTTACTATTTCTCTATTTTTCTAAATTTGAGATTATAGGACAATTACATGATTCCTCACTCCCATTTCTTCCCTCTAAGCATTCCAATATGTACCCCTTCATCTCTTTCAATTTTCTGGACTCTTTTCTTCACTAAATGTTGTCTAATGCATATGAGTGCAAGTTTGCAAGTGAGTCCTTAACATTTATCTGAAGATTTGAAACTGGGAAAAACAGAAGATACCTAGCATGCCACATTTATTTTTTAGATCTGGGTTGACTAAAAAAGGTAGGATCTTTTATATTTCCTGCCATTTGCCTACAAATGTCATGATTTCAATTTTCTTTACAATAGAATACTTATAATATTGTTTACATGTATCATTATTTCATTATCCATTAGACAGCTGTAGACCATTTACGTTGCTTCTATTTTCCAGCTGTTGTGAATAGAGTAGCAATGAACATGCATGAGAAAATACCTGTGAAGTAGAATATCAAGTCATTTGGGCATATTCCAAGAAGCAATATAACTGAGTCACATGGTCCATATTTACTTTCAGAAAACTATGTATTCTCCACACTATTTCAATAGTTAATATACAAATTTGCAATACTAGCAAAGGATGTCTCCAGTCTCCTTGTTCTATCTCTCTCTGTCTCTGCATCTCTCTCTGTCTGCTTCTGTCTCTCTGTGTGTGTCTTTCTCTGTCTCTGTCTGTGTCTCTCTATCTCTCTCAATGTCCCATGTCCATTTTGACTAGACTGCCACTTTCTCATATTTTTTTTTAAACGAGTCATGTATTCTGGATATTTAGTCACAGCTAGCATGTTTGCTTACACTGGACATAAACTAGCCATTTCCTAAGTGCTGGAGGTTATGGAAGGAAATGTGTCTTATGGGATTATACATTTCATTTATGATCTATGAGCCAATGATAGGTTGGGGTGGGAAGAACATTGTCCAGCCTTATTCTTTCTACTTTTGAGTCCATTAGGGCCCAAGTGTTAGTTCCAAATCTAAAGGAACACATATAGCCCTGAATAAACTTATAGGGTCATAGATAAGCTTAGAAAATCAATAATAGTGTGAAAGGGACATGTTGGTTGTGGGAGCATACTTGACAGAATTGAGATGACATTAGAGAAAGAATTATCAGAATGTTTCATATATGTGGGAAATCATCAACAAACAATTCTAAAGGCATGTTACTGGGGATATCCATGACAAGCATTTTGAACACAGAAAAAGTATTTGTGGAGTACAGAAGAAAATGGGTAGTGCTGACACATTATGTAGATTCATGTTCATAGTTCTTGGCTTGAGCTACACACACTCTCTCTTAAACAAAATCCTTCAACCCTGACCCATGGTCCAATCTTCTGTTTAGTGACACTCATGGAATGTGCATTTTCTCCAAATTTTAGAAATATAAAAATAACAATGGAGTTCAGTAGTGGTGGCACACACCTTTAGTCCCAGCATTCAGCAGATTAAGGCAAGTGAATCTTTGTGAGTTCAAGGACAGCCTGGTCTGCACAGAGAGTTGCAGGACAGGTTACAAAACTAAACAGAGAATCCGTGTCTCAAAAAACCAAGAAATAAAGTAACCGTGGAATGAACAGTAGCTCTCATTCTTTCTTCATGTACTTTTATGTTTTGTAACCATTCAGTAAGAATGAGTGGAGACTCCACTTTATAATTCAGTTATACACTGATGATATGCTTCAAACCAAGTGGATGATTGACTGACTAGTATTTTATAAGAAATCAGCTGCTGTATATCTTGGCTTGATGCTCAGGATCAATATGAAAATAGGCAGGCACTTATTTGACAAAATTGCCTCCAGCATTTTTCCAGTACTCATTCACTGGGCACAGATAAATTCCCATACATTTGTCATGGTTCCCACTGGAAGTTTTATTTTGTATTATCAGAAGGAATAAGGGACTTGTTAAATGATTACTCTGTTTCATTATTTTCTATTGCCCTCTTTTATTCATTTACATAGCTGCATTTTGTTAATATTAGTGATTTTGCTATACATTTTGAATACATGTGTTTTTCCAATAATGTGTTTAAAATTCTGAATACATGTGTTGTTATAAATAAGGTATTTAAGTATCTTCTCAATATATGAACTTTCTATCAACTATTTCTTCAGTGTATCTTAAAGTAAAAAATATGTAAATTCTTACTAAGTCCACCTCTATCTCTTTCTCTCCCTCTCTTTCCCTATCTCTGTCTTTCTTTGTCTGTTCCTCTCTGTTTCTCTCTATTTAATTCTATCTCTGTGTCTCTATGTCTATCTGTCTCTCTATGATTCATAAGGCAATGCTGAATGATGACTTTTCTAAAAACATTTTTTTCTTTTTCCTATATCCAAGATTTGAAAGCTTCAAGTGATAAGTACTTCTAAATACTTTCTAGCTTTGCTTCTTATATACAGTGATCTTGCATTTTCCTGAATGTAACTCTCAGCAATGTGGAAAATGACTCAGGAGATTCTGGTTACACATATTCAATTTCTTGAACAATAAATGCATTGTAAGGAGTGATTTTTTTTTTACTGAAATGTTCATGAAAATTCTCCTGTAAAGAATGTTCCCTAGCAATATACTCCTTGATAGTTTTAATTAAACTGTTGGTATTTTAGTATTTCTAAATTAATAACCATCTTTAGACCCTGATAATTTACAAAAGAGCTGTGTTTTTGTTTAATACACACCATGGTATAAACATCCCCAAAATGAATCAACCATATTATCTCAGAAAATCAATACTCTTTAAATTTCTGTTGAGTGACAAATAGAGTGCCCAACCTTAAGCAGTGCCTTTAGTTTAGGATTCCTGAATCATCAAATTCAATTATCATCATCCGTTCAGGTTGACATCAAATTTGAAAAGATTTATTTTATTTTGATTTTATTAGTAGTAACCATTACTAATATTTTAATATCAACAAATATAATCTATATTATTCATTAATTATTTGCAATAATATAACTAAAAATTATTCATCTATTATTATTATTTTATCCTTTCATAATCTATCCTCTTCTGTATGGCAGCAACATGCCCTGGACATTCCCACTGATCTTGCTGGAGTAAAAGCATATTCATTCTGTGTTTAGTACTTCAACACTATACTGTAATATCTATAATCTAAAGGTTAATACAATTTACCCCTCATCTCTTCCTCCTTAAAAATCCTAGCATAAAACATTCATTCATTGATGATTTCACTAAATGATTTACCATGTTTAATTTCCAAATTCTTAGACTTTAACAGGATAGTTCTTCGAAATTTCCCCAGAATCCCTTTTTACCTACAAAGATTCATGTTTCAAATGGACATGGCTTTAATGTATTGGGAGAAATAACTCCAAAAATTTTTATTGAAGTTATTTGTTCCCATTCAAAATTGTGCTAATATGTAATAATATTTTTTATTTTTTTTCCTTGTGCTTATCAAGATTCCCCTGGATATCCATTGACAAATGTCTCTTCTACACTTTCTATTATACAGTGTATTTTTAAATTCCCAAATTAATATATACATTTCAATCCCAATTTATTATAAAAGACATAAATTAACTTTTCAATACCATACTGAAATTTAGAGTACAAAGAAGTATCAAACATGAAAGTCTGAAATATAAATATTCTTTATTTTCAGTAGAGTGAGAAATCACCTCAGAGTCCCCGATAGCAACAGTTCCCTGTGGTTTTGGTTTCATGTTCAATTCTAGGCATTTTGCCTCAGATGTTCAGGTTGAGATCAAATCAGAACAGTTTTTAAATATCTCCTTCTTCCTCCATCTTACTATCTTCTCTGACACTAATGTGCAAGGAAACTGCCTGTATCTTTCCTTAAGCATACACAAGTAGAAACTTAGTTAAGGGTGTTGTTTTCTGAAAAGATAATGGAAAGCTAAAAAATTCATGGA